TTTTAAATTAGCTGAATGGATGGAAAAGTGATGAGAAAAGTACAAAAGTATTTTTCTTGCATAGTTCTTAGGGTTGGAAATATGTTTTTATCAATTAAGCCTAATGAAAATCAATTTTCCTAAATTTGTTGGCAATTTATCATTCAATGTCATCATGTCAAGTCAGTGTCCATATATTGGGCCTTTCATGATTTTGTATTGCAAAATAAATCTACCTATGTCAAATTGTCCCCGTGTTGAGGTTCCCGCATGTGGGGGTTTAACTGTACTTTTCAAGTTAAAAAGACTTCTTTGTTCTCTTAATTTAGTTCAATTCTATCATTCATCTGATATTTTATTTTCAATTACCAAGGTTTTTGGTGCGGACCTGTGATTTTCCAACATTGGTAGAAGGATTCTTGAACCTCATCCTTGCAGCAATAGAAAATGTGCATAAAAGTTGAAACATTGTTCAAAATATTCACGTGAATGTTGGTTAAGCAAAATGATATAATGCTTTCTTTTCAAGAAAGATTTATGCCTATCAAATTGCATATTTTAGAATTTCTGGGTGCAATTTTCCAAATTTTAAGTATGAAATACTGTGACTTTTGTCTTGCTGCGTTTTCAAAAAATATAAAGAAAAATTAACCGGTAATTGTTCTCTTTTGTTTTCATCAAAAGCCATTTTGAAAAGTGAAAATTTTCCTATTCTGTGGAATAATATAAAAAAGGTGATGAATCCACCTGTAAATTCAAATCTTGAAGCAAAAAGTATTTGGAGCACTCACTTTACGCAAAGTGTTATTGAAAGGATCAGCATATTTTTGGACATGGTGTTGAAACATTGATTTTTTAAATTATTGTAGAAAATTGTGGGATTTAATTATTAGGAGAAAATGTTTTAGCAGTGGGAGTGGAAAAATCACAATCATGCTTATTGTTCTTTGTCTCAAAAATTAAGCAATATGCCTTCAAAGCAATGCTTCTGCAAACTTTCTACCAGGATGAGAAGTCCTAAATCATTTCTTCAGGCAATTGGTAACTCACAATTTGACCTCCTGCAATTCAATGATCCTACAAATTGATGGTTGAATTTTCCGGGAGGTTGACTTGCAATTTGACCCTTGGCCCGCAATTCTACCTGCCTTTTCCATTTTTTTGCATTTTTGTACTGCACTTATATTTTGAATTTGATAAAGTGTCATTATGCAATTTGACCAATTTGCAATTTGACCATAGTTTGGCAACAGATTATGGTTGACTTGCAAGGCACCACCTATACCTCAATCCACATGAAAATTATTCCATGAACTGAATGTATATACAGTACACAACTGATTTGCAAATTGCTGCATTACAAGCCTTGGCATCCTCAGATAATTTTATAAATTATTATTTTGTTGTTACAAATAAAAAGCTTGGAACTTTGAGCGTAAGGTCCTGCAACAAAAATTGAATCTCATGATTCAAATATTTTTCAGCAACAATTTGTTTAAAAAAAGGACTTTAAAGATTCAACAAAAAATGACAATATAAAAAGAAACATGAGTTCTGAAATCAGGTGAATCCTGAATTAAAACTTTGGGTTTTTCTTTTCTCCTCCCCCACTTATATACACTCCCAATATGAAACCCCAAAAGGCATACAAAACCCCTTTTCTGGGTTGTCTGTATGTCGCATAACACAACAGTACCCCGTGAAAAACCTGTCCTTGAGCTTTATAACTCGCAGACGCGTGTCTTTTGCTGCCCCTGCCCCCGAGGGGTAGGAAAAAAATGACAAAAACAAAACAAACAAACAAACATGCCCCCAGGTCTGCTGGTGGAATCCCCTCCTCCAATAATGCTGGGAATCAGGTGGGTGGCCCTTGGGGCAGGATGAGGCAGGGGGAAAAAATTCAGGACAGGGGCTGCTGCTGCTGTTGTCTGATGACACACAATGATGCCCTATTGATTGAGTGACATGGCGACCGACTGACCGACCGTTACCCATGCCCACACACCCACACCCGCCTCCGTCACTGAATAGATAATGACGACCATCACCATCATCATCATCATCAAATTCAATATATTTATCATCTGTCCATCATCACCATCATCAGCAGCAGCAGCAGCAGCAATGTAAAACTTGACTGAATTACGGACTTGTCAATAAGATCGTCGGGGGAAAGTACTCTGTAATATGTACTGTGATGATGTACTGTATCACGACTTCCTTGGAATTCTCTGATCCTAATTAATTGACTCGACGGCATTCGTAGCAATGTCGCGTCCTTGTCTGACGGGAACTATTTTTTAATCAGTGTTTCGTTGCGTTAGAAAAAATAATTTTGATGTAGATCAGCTGATTTTCCGAAGCTGTACAGTATCAGGATATTTGGATAGATTATTTCGAGTTGATCATTAGAAAAATGAATAAATACATGAACCGTGAACTCGCGAAAATAATTCAAAAGCATTTTGTGCTCAGTCGAGATAATTTTTGCACGTGAAAATCATCGATTTATTCCGACGCTTGATGTAATCGTGATTTCTTTTCAGAAATTTGAAAGTTAGTTTAAAGCTTTTTGAATAACTGATGCTTACCTCTGGAGCTTATTCTAAGTTTGAGCCTTAAGATTAAAGAAATGCCTCCCAATCTTTTTTTTTTAGAGAGTAAGAAGACGTTTCCGATGGATGATAATAATTGCTGTTCGACATAAAAAAAATTCACTTCCTTTCATAAATACAATATACAGATAAGATTATATGTTCTGTTTTCAAAAGAAGGTTCAATTGTTTGTCGGAAAAAACGTTTTTCGAATAAAATAAATTTTATACCCGGGGAACGCTTTCCAATAATTTTCTTATATACGAGATGTATATATGCAAGAATTAATTCAAAATTTTACAATCGACTTTTCCAGCAGGTAAGCCGTGGAATGAAACTACTTTTCTATACTTATCGTCTAAGCATTTGTGGGGAAGACCCACGAATTGGTTTTTAAAATACCTTTCACTTCGCAAAGCGACAAACGGGAATCCAGAATCATCACTTTACTTGCTGTACAGTATATTGTATCTTCCTCCAATTAATTCTTTCTTTTTTAATTTAGACTTAACATGCCACTGATTTTTTTCTTGCTTTTGTTGTGAACTGTTAGATAGACAATTGCATGAAAATCAAGTTTCTGTAGACAAGAAATTGAAAGTTACTGACTGAAATGTGATTGATGACAACATAGTTTTCTATTAGATAGAAATTATGATTTTTTTCATAGCATTGAGCATGGTTATTCTCCTTGTTTTTGAGTTTCATTTTCTGATTATTTTATTTTTTTTTACTGTACTTCATTGTTTCAGAATCTATTTCAGAAAATTTATGAAGCAACGTTCATGTACAGATCAGCAATTTCAAATCAGCTAAAAAAATTTCAGGCTGTAAGCTGACAATATTTTAATTCTGTTATTTCTAACGATCATCTAACCTGTGGAGTAAAATGGAACACAATTGAAATATTTTAGTGATATTGAAAAATGTTCAACTGCTTGTGACATGTGTGGAGAACTTTGGTTGTAATGGAACATTTTCATGCATCATTATGCAGTGAATTCATTAAAAAATTTAAATTCAAAAGAAACAAACAAAAATCCCAGAATATCAGGGTGCAAATATGCACAAACCCCAGAGTAGGGGAAGTTACAACTATCCTGTCAATGAATGACCTGGAAGAATCACAGAATTTATGGGAACTGAATCAATTGCTTTGCAGAGGAATGAAAGGAAAGGGATAGTTGAATTCAAATTAATCTGCATTCAATCAATCCTCAGTTGAACCTGTCACTCAGGTTGAAAATTAAATTGTCTCTGTGGTGACAGGTTGATTTTGAATAACCTTTTCCACTTCTACAGAATCCTAAAAATCAGTGAGGTTGGAGAACAGATGATTTGGTCATTGATTTGAGAGAGTGATGAACAAAGTATGCTCTCTTACAAGTGAGGCTACAAAAAGATTTTCCCATTCTAGGATAACACACATCAAAAATGTCAGAGGTTGCATCCAACACTGGGAAAAACCCTCATTAGGGTCTCTATTACAGAATCCAGCACCCACATTTTTAATCTCAAGCTGATGAATTCAACTCTATCATTTGACATACCCAGGACCATGCAGTAATGACCACATTTTCATTTTTAGTTAGAGATAATCTCATCAAAGATTCTTGCTAAATTTTTCATTCAACTAAATTGTTCATTCAACTAAACCTTATCTGCAAACAGGCTGAAAAACTTGCGCTTTAAATTGGGTTCAGTAACTGCTGCAATTGCTTCAATTCTGGCTTATGCTGCAATCCTTGTTACTGATATTTTGTTTTCAATGTCAGGGACATAAGAAGGGGGTGTACGCATACACATCAGTTGTGCAATTGTACATTATGGAATGTATTTTCTTTTATTTTGGTATCCACATACAGCTTATTTCTCTGTTTCCCATTCTGAAGTGATTGAATGCATTTGAATGGATTTGGATTGGGTGTGAAAGGGGGTTTGGATGTGGGAATTTTGATATTTAACCTTGTGAATGCTGAAAAGCAGAAAATAAAGCTTTCTGTTCATTCATTCATCCATTCATTTTTGCTATGAATGCGGGGGTTTGGATTTGGAATTGTTGATTGAACCTTGTGTATTCTGAAAAGCGGAAAATAAAGCTTTCTGTTCATTCATTCATTCATTTTTTGCTTTGCCTAGTTTGCAATATGGTCCTCAAAAGGCAATTGTCCTAATGTCCTAATGATTCCTCAATATTGATAACCAACACAGACAGACTTGACAAGAAGAAGAAGAAGAAGAAGAAGAAGAAAGAGATGGAGGATGGGATTGTGGGACAGGAAGAGAGAGAGAGAGAGAGAGATGTCTTCAGTGTATGAATGCTGCCATCATCATCATCATCATCTTCTTCATCACCATGACTGAAGCAACAAGGATATCAAGAAGAGAGACGAGCGAGAGGTCAGTGACCCCCGTCCTCTCTCTCATTATGCCGCCAGCACCACAACCACCGCCACCACGTCGACCATGTCAACGGCGGCGGCGGCGGCGGCCCGGGGACGACCATCACCACGAGACATGTCTCCTTATCAGTCCAATCCCATCTCATATCCTCATCCTCACCAACACACGCGTTATATTCTTCCTCGACCGCCTTCTTGAGGAAGAACGAGCGACGTCGTCGTGGTGGTGGCGGGGGTGGGAATAATGGAACAATATTCAAATACCCCGGGGGTGGGTAAAGATGAAGAAGAAAACAAACTGAAGTGAATAAATGAATTGCCGGAAGTGAACCGTGCGCGGGTTGGTTCACCTGGGTTTCCCTTCGGCCGGAAATGCAAATTTCATGACGGGATTGATTGATTGATTGATCGAATTGCATAGAATAAGGAGGAGGATTTCCGGAGATCTGAAGGTAAATCACGCAATTTTTTGTCTTGCTCCAGTTGTTGTTGTTGTCGTTGCCATTTTTTATTTCTTTGCAAATTCTCAAAGATTACGTTAATGCGAATAATTCCATAAATAAAATTACCCCGCATGGTTTTTTTTCTAAATAAAAAAAGCTGGAACTACCTGAACGTAAAAATTATTGAAATAAATTATATAATATTATCAAAATCAGAATCGTTTGTCAAACGTTTTTGTCAAGCCTCTGGGGTTCATATTTCATATGTTTTGTCGTTATCGAGCGCAAAATAAATTATTTTGAGCAGTTTCAGCATTCTGACGAGAAAAAGAAAGAGACCATTGACATTTTTTTTGCAATAAATCGGACAAACCATTATTTCACAAACCTTTACGTAAAGCTAAATCCCCGATTCCGGTGCTTTATTCTAATTCTAATACTGTTGAACGGGCAAATTTATTTCATAAAAATGATGGCGTTTTGTCCAGGGATGAAGAAAAAGTAGGAATATATTGAGAATAACATATCAATGAGGAATGAATCAGGAGTAAGTCATTCGTCGCCGTAGAAGCACGTGCCAAAAATTTGGAAGGTTTATAGACGTCAATTTCTTTTTTTTTTTTTACCTACTTGCGTCCTAAAAAAATATTTGCAGTAAATGCTGATGCTATTTTACATCACCAATAGCAATTCGGAATAATAAAAGAGGAATTCGCGTGATAAATATATTTTCTTTCTATTATTTACATATTCCAGGATAATTATCCATGAACTTCGTAAAAACCCGAATAAAATGTGTTATTTGGCCCAACAAATGCTTTTTACGGGAGTTTCAAACAGTCACTGTTTTCTTGATTTTCACTCGGCGAAAACAGTGTGAAATGTCAAAGATTCGTTGTGTTTTTTTTTCTATACTTCGTGGAATGAACTTAAAAAAAAAACAACTTTAAAATGCATGGATGTCATGTTCCAGTTGAGACAAGCATGGCGCCGTTTGTTTATCATATTTTTGGCCTCAAGTTGAAAACTTTTGACCAGTAGCTCAAAAAAAAACGTTAAAATTTTAGGTCCAATTCAAGGTAAATTTCAGTTCGGCACTATTCAAATTTATCCTCTCAAGGAGTCGTAATCTACATGATAACCTCATAAATCCCTTCTTTGACCTGGATTAAAAACTGAAGACTTTCCTTTCCTTACTAATTCATTTAAAATGTTTCATATATTCAATGGTGTCACAAAATAAATCATGTTCGCAATTTTCCAAAGGTTTTTTATCAAAATGAGCTTTATTCAAAGTACACCGCATAATAAAATGAAAGGCTCATATATTTAATCAAGAAACTTACGACAATAAAAAAAAAGAAACGGTGACCCACGTTTCCATGAAAAATTACAAACTTTAAAAAGCATAAATTCACCCAAGGTATGAACTGAGTAACAGCGGATCTTTGATATCATTTGAGCTTCACTGGTATGCATGACAAATTAATTGTAAAGCTGATGTATTGTGTGGTTTTTGCCTTCTCACAGAAAAAAAAGCGCCTGATAAAGCATAACAGAAAACTCATGTACTAAAAACAAAATCTCAAATCAAACTAGGTTACCTAAAGAGATAAAGTAATCCTGAAACTCACTTGAAAATTATTTGAGTTCAGTGCTGAGATTTTGCATATACAGTAATGTATATCTCATGGTTGTATGCAGGTGGTACCTTGCAATTTGACCTCCTGCAATTCAGCCATCCCGCTATTTGACATTTGAATTTGAAGGGAGTTTGACTTGCAATTCAGCCCTTGCTCAGCAATTCAACCTGCTTTGTTATGCACTTTTTTGCAGATTTAAACTTATATTTTTTAAATTTGATGGAGTGTCTTGCAATTTGACTGATTTGCAATTTGACCCTGGTCCAGCAACAGATTAGGGTCAAATTGCAAGGTACCACCTGTAGTCCCTGCTTTGGCCTCTTTAGAACATTTTACTGCATTATGACATTTGAATGAAATTTATACTATCATTCATATCAGAACAGTAGGCAGGGAAATTATTTGGATTGATATCATCCATAGGCATTAGAAAAATTGAGTTCTTTGCATGAAACACTGTTGGATGTTATTCAAAGAAAATTATAATGGGGGTTTTATTCAATGACCTGAGGCTAGCTGGATTCTTGAGAATTTGCTGCTTGACATTTCTCCTTTATTCTCAGAGCAAATAGGTTTTTTGCCATTCAAATGAGATTTATTCCATATCATTCATGCTTGTGCTCAGGAAAATGATTCAGGTAGCATATTGCACATCTGCATCCACAGAAATTAAGTTCTTTGTATGAAACACCACTGAATTTGAGTGGAAATTGAAAATTTATTGCTAGGTGCACAATCACATTTTAAATCTCATTCTTCAAAAATGTACTCTTCTTGATACTCTTCTTCAAATCCTTGAAAATTGAACAAGATTTATTCCATACCATTTGTGTCAGAATTGCTGTAAACAGTATTCAGGTTAATATTGTGCATCTGCATCTGCCCAAATTGAGTTTCATGTTCTGTTTTGTTGAGGTAGCATAATTGGCAATTGAAGGAAGGTGGTCTGCATCACCAGCAGAACAACTTCTTTTTTTTATGCCATGCTAACACACCAAAAGAATTGAAGTACAGTATCTAAAGAACTATCACATAATTTCAATGGACTGGAATGTATTCAATGGATGTGTGAGGGACTGTGGAAAAATTTTGTGCACCATTTTAAATGCTGACAAGTGGCAAATAAAGGTTGTTCATCAATCAATGAATGAACAAAAAATGGGAGAGGGATGATGGGTTATAATTTTCTAGCACAACTTCTCACCAACCTGAACTTATTATGTCTAATCTAGAAAAAAAAATACAGTTGAACCTCATAAATGAAACCTCTCCAATTCAAATACCACCCAAAGACAATTTCTCCAAGTCCCTGCTTTAATTTCCCTACAAACAATGTATTCAGAAACTCTCCAACTCAAACAGCTTTACCTCTCAAACCTCCAGGAATCAAAGTTTCTGAGGCCTTTTGGTTATTATTCTCTTGAGCCCAGGAAATAAAAAAAATCAATCAAAAATGAAATTTGATGCATTTAGAAAGGAAGCAAAAGGCTAAATTGGGCCAATGAACCCGTGCCTCCAATAAGTGCAGCATCATTCTGTCAACTCATCCAAGAAGCAATTTAAGCTAGGCCAAGAATATCACCATTTACAATTTCTTGCAATTCTTTATAATCTTTCCCACAACAAAAAGCGTTGGTTCCCTATAACTCAAAAATGTTTTTGGCTGGTCTCTTGCAATTTGGCATAAAGCAGTTGAACTGCTTGTAATTTACAAAAAATCCAAATTTGAAAAGCATAATTCTTTCACAGTATCTGGGTCATCTGAATTCAATTCAGATTTCAAAAAAAATATGTATACATGGTAGAATATAAATGCAATTCCTCCTCCTCTTATATTCCTGCCTGTTGTTGGATTGATTGATTGACGCGTGAGTTGATGGCTATATATTTTAGATTACTATTTTTTTGCTTCAAGAAGTCGATTTAAAAATAAATAAAAGAAAAATAAAGATGAAATAAGGCGGTAATTACCGTATCCGTCCAGCAGCTTGGTGAACTGGGTGTTGGGTCGTCCCGAGAAGGCTTCTTGGCGAAAGGCTTGTCGGATGACCTTGGCGTCGGCCAGGACGACGACCAGATGGCGTCCAAAGTACAGCTTGTAGACGGAGCCGAACTGGCGGGCCAGGTCCGTCAGCTGCAGGTGGATGTTGCGCGTGAGGTAGGGCAGGTAGCCCAGGATCGGGACGCCGCTCGGGCCAGGCGGCAGGAGGCTCAGGCGCCACTGGTACACGCTGACCGCCTTGACGGCCACCAGCAGGGCCAGGAACAAGGCCGCCGTCGGCAGACTCATCACAAACAGCCGGGGCACCACCAGCTCCCACAGAGCCCGTGTCACCACCACCAACATCTTCTCCTTCTTTTCCTTCTTTTTCTCTCGTCTTTCTTAATACTCTTCTTCTGTCGTGTTCTCGTCCTCTCGTAGTGTGTCGCCTCCCCCGAAAGCAAATTGGAAATAAATGTCTTCACCAGCACCACGACAGCATATGTGTAAATATGCAAATGTAACACCACTATATGATAGGTGATGACGAGGAATGGAATCTAACCGTCTATGCTCTCTCTACCTATTTTTTTTCTTCGTTTTCTCTCTTGGGTCTTCTTTGTTTTTTTTTTCTTTCGATCTCTCTCTTTTTTTTTGTGGGTCGGGTGTCCTCGCTGTCCCCCCACACGAGCTCTGCCTAACGTACTGCCCAGACTCAGTATGTGTGTGCGGCTGGAAACCCGCGGGTTTTATAGCCAAACTCGGGCCTGCCTTCCTTCCTTCCTTCCTCCACTTCCCCCCCCCCCCACCCCCTGGAGAGAGAGAGAGAGAGAGAGAGAGAGAGAGAAACACCCTGGTCACATTATATTACCATCACCCACACATCCCAGCACATGCGCGAGGGGCTTGTCTGAAGTTGTGAGAGTTTGTGATTCAGGTGGGACTCTCACTCGGCCATGAAATTCAAGGCGGACCAGAAAAAATAAAATGTTTTAATATTGTTGAAGACAAGCTTGTTGTCTGTGAAAAAAAATTCAAAAGACCAAAACAAACTGTTTCACTGAATATTGTTGAAGTCAAGTTTGTTGTCTGTGCAACAAAATTGAAAAGACCAGAAAAAATGTGTTTTACACAAAATATGGTTGATGGCAAGCTTGTTGTCTGTATAAAAAAAAATTCAAAAAACCAGAAAAATGTGTTTTACAAAGAATATATTGTTGAAAGCAACAATGTTGTAGAGGGAGTCCAACCATATTGTATTTTTTACTGATGTGGACTCTCTGCACAACAAAATCCAATAGGTTAAAAAAAAAATTGCTGCAATATAGAAAGAGGTTGATTGTAGACAATATCCCTTGGCAGTTGGCACATGTTCAAACCTAAATAAGACCAAGGAAAGAAATGTTTCTGCAGTTGAACCTTGATAGCTCAAACATAGCCAAGTTGGATTTCCTAAATTCCCAAAAAACACAATGCGTTAAACATCTCTCTAACTCCAAAGCTTTACCTCCAAAATTCCTGTAACTCAAAATTTCTGAAGCCCTCTGGTTATTATTTTCTTGGCACAGAAATTACACAAACAATACAAACGTAACTTGATGTGTGCTTTGAAATTAAATAAAAGACTGATCGGGCAAATGAACCTTTGCCTAAAATTAGCTGATTCCTGCATGAGACCAGCACCCCCAGTTTTTGTTGGCAGAGAATAAAAATTGGTTAACTATAAGTTGAAAAAATAACCTTATAATTAAAAAAAAAACTCTGAAGGATTACAACAGGATTACTTCTGCCAAACGTGACTTCCCTGTTGATCATATAGACCTACAGTTGGGTTAGCTTGGTACACAAAATTATATGCACATGTCAAGCAGCACACCTCATTTTTCTGCCCAGACTTTCCAGAGAAAATTGAGAGCTTTGTTCCTGCATAATTGCAGTAATACTACAGTCTATTGCACCTGGAAGAGAAAAATAAAGAAGACCTTGCAGAAGAATCATTTCAATTTGTTACAATGAGCCCAAATTCAACTCAACTCCATCAACTGAAACTTTCACTAACCCCAATAAAGTATATCTTTAGGCATTCAACAACATATTCTAGGAGAAAAAAGGAAGAGCACACAAGGGCTTGCTTAAGCAGTCTCAAATCAAGTGGTGAAAGAGGTTATGTAATTTTCTTATTCTTCAATTTTTAGTTATCAATATTTGTGAAATTTAGTCAAATGTGCATGAGAGTATCTGGGACTGGTTTTCTTAGGGGAATCTAGTTTTGCAGCAGAACTCAAATCTCAAAGTGCAGTTTCTGCATTTTTTGGAAGATATGAGTTGATTTTATTCCCTGATACAGTTGACCCTCAATAAATCAAATCATCCTGAGTCAGATACAGTACCTCCCCAAGTCAACTTTTTACAGGTTCCCATCTGAATACCCCTGAAAACAATGCATTAAAAACCTTTCTACCTCCAAGGCTGTTCCTCTCAAACCTCAGTAGCTCAAATATTTGAGGCAGCCTTTTGGCTATTATTTTCTTGACACAGGAAAGAGAAAAGAAATGAAAAAACCAACTTTACATGTTTCGAAGGGAAGTGAGAGACTAATTAGAAAAATGAACCTTTTCCTCCAATTTCAGCATCAACTTTAAAAAAATGCCAGAACAAGATTATTTCACCAATTGCAATTTCCTAAAATTCTTCCATTTTTCCCTCAACAAAAGTGATTGCTTCTCAACTCAATACCTTCTTCCAAGCAAGTTGTTTTCCTGGTCCCTTGAAATTTGACTTATACAGTAGAGGTTTGACTACTGTACAATGAGACCCCAAGATGTGGACATGATTGGTGGTCAAAAAGTGTCCCTATATTGTAATGTGCACAGGTTACTCTTCCTTCTTTTCCCATAAACTTCAATGAAGACCCGTTTAATTGGATCTCCAGCTCATGAAAAATTAGGAATAAATCCTCCAAAAATTAAAGATACAATGTGTTTCTCAACTTAAAGACACAGAATACAGTCTATTTATTCCGGATAAAGGAAACAACACAGAATATGAACCTCTGGCATGAAAAGGACTCAAAAATACAAACAAAAAGTGCGTCTTTCTATCCTATGCACAGATGATTGAGAATTCTGGGGAAATAATAAAAAAAATTAACCTGTTTTTGATTATGAAATCAAGTAATTACAGTATATAATAATGTTCATTTTCTAACTTATGTGAATATAAATGGCTCAATTTGTTCAAGAGAGAATTGCACTGTTACAATTTTTCTAAAAATGCTAAAAAAAAAAAGTGTCGGTATGCCAAGATATTGTCCAAGTGTAGAGCCCAATTATTTTTTTTTGAATTTTCATTATGTCAGGGTGTCTGCTTTCTTCCAGGGTCTCACTGTGATATTTCTTTCTTTCTCGCCATGAATCTCAGACAACTCCACGTTAATTGGCATTCAACTTCATCAATTAGACCCACGTACCGCTGCCTCGTACCTTTCGACTGATTTCGCTGCACTTTCCGACCACCCCTTGTTCGCCACACCATGAGCAAGTATGAAAGAAGGAAGGAAAAAAAAGGAAGGAAGGAAGGAAGGAGAAGCCCGCGTGGTGTGTTTCGCGCGCGCGCGCGAAACAAGACGAGGCCACGGGGAGAATTTTATATAGTAACTCTCAACCAGTCTATTCAAACCCCACGCAGCATCTAACCAGCAACCACAACAAAAAAGAAGAAGAAGAAGAGATGTACAGAGGAAAAAGACTATCAAGGCAGCAGCAGCAGCAGCAGAAACCCCATCAGTACTTGGTGGTTCGGAGCAGTGAACCCAAGGGTACACAAGTACTATATATTCCGATGCGGCGACTCGTTCCCGGATTATTACTCACTCTACAACCGGACCGGAGCCATTGCCCTTTACGCCTCTTACAACACAGGTTGCCGAACTGCAGTCAGAGTCCATTCACGATGATGACGACGACGACGAGGGGGGGAAGGCGAATAACTTGCTGAAAAATCCAGTCTTCAATCCCCCCCCACCCTTCCCCCTTTTTTATTTGCTTGCGCAATTGTTGAAGACCTGTTTTATTGCAGGCGAACCTCTCCAAGTTGAATTTCAAGTGAACCCACAAAGAAATTTGACTTATGGAGGTTTCAACTTTGGGGGTGGGGAGGTTTGAGTTATCAAGGTTCACCTGTATTACTGTACTATTATTATTATTATTATTAATATTATTAAAGAAAAAGAGGAAGGTGGAGATGACAATGAAGAGAGGAAGCCAGAGGAATTGCTTATTTATGTATACTGAACACAGGAGAGATACAATATTTTTCGCAGAGCTGTAGATGATGAGGGGGAAAACCGAAAATGTTTTATTACGCAATAACCACGCGCAGCAGGAGTCGAGAGATGAAAAAAATAAACATAGAGAGTAGGAGACCTGGTTCGACCTGGATTGGTTTAAAACGCATATTATTGGGATGGTCATCTATATAGTGTAAGACTGGTGTCACCATCATCATCAGCATTACTTGGAACTCGAAAACGCGAATATAAAACAAAATGTGAGATATACAGACACACTACAATTTCTAAACCATCAAATGAAGAAGAAGAAGAGGGAAAGATGAAACTAGTTTATTGGGGAAACCGATACTGTCTTATTGCATCATCAGTTAATAACACATTTTAGTAAAGGTTCTAAATGGAGGGATTCTTCAAAAAAATATTATATTGCATCATTTTCAAGATGTTCCATATTTGAATGTTTACATTTGCCACCTCCTTGTTGCATCAAAGGGTATCCGCTCATCCATGAGGAATAATGTGTTTCAGTCAGTTACAATTAAAAAAATATTATATTGCATCATTTTCAAGATGTTCCATATTTGAATGTTTACATTTGCCACCTCCTTGTTGCATCAAAGGGTATCCGCTCATCCATGAGGAATAATGTGTTTCAGTCAGTTACAATATCATATCCTTGATGAATCATGAGAATCTCTATATTTCAGCTAGTTGATACCCAACAAAATCATGATAAGTGCAGTATGAAAGTGCTCTTTCTATTAAATTAAAGTCATGTTGGCAGTTTTATGCTCTCATGTTTCTGAAATTCAAAATTGTTGGAGGTAGAAATAATTTTTTTTTCTTTTTTTCAATGTTAGTTTCTTTGATTAAAAAAAATGCCAAAAGTTCAAACTCAAGGAATAATTTCCAGACCTGTTGTACAGCAGCAAGTCAAGCAGCAACAAGTTGCACAGTGTGAAAACTCACCAAAAATGCAAGAACTGGAATAAGTTTCTTACTCTGACTTATTGCTTATTTTTCAATGAAATTGCAGCAAAGAAAAATGCCTATAATGTTTTCACCTGGATTCTGG